TCAACAGTTTGGTAAAAATGTATGGAGCTGTATTCAGCCCAAATGGCATAGAACAGAACTCATACAGTTTCCCAGAATATTCAAAACGAAGAAACTTCCTGAATTTCTTATCAACAGCAACTAAAAAATACGCATCTTTCAAATCAATGGTACTAAGAAAACTATCTCTCTGTATAAGATTTTTAACAGATCTATAGTCATCTAATTTGAAGTGAGGGGGATCAATGTATTTATTTAAAGATTTCAAATTCAATATGAACCTGTATGACCCATCGGTCTTTTGTCTTAAAAAATATGATGACCTGAAATCATTGGATTCTGGGCCACATGAGCTAATAGCACCAATTTTGATGAGTTTTCCAATGACTTGGTTATATTTATGTACTTCATCATTTTTTATTTTAACTTTTGGCTGAAATTTCTGACAAGGGACTGAAGAAAAATCAATTTTGACTCCTGCAATCCAGTCTAAAACAAGTTTGTTTTTTGTGATTTTTTCCCATGCTGGAAGAAATCTTTTAAGCCTACCAGCATACCTGGTTTCGGCACATACCTCTAATGATGGTAGGTTTTCATCTTTTTGAATTTCCTCTCTTGGCTTCTCTCCCCTCTCCTGTCTCTCTTTTCTCCCCCATTTTTCCATTCCCTCATTTCTCTCCCCTCTTTCTTCAATCTGTGTTTTGCCTTCGGTCGCTGGTAGTTTAAACGATTGTTATCACCTGTGGAAACTGCTCCAGATGGACCAGGTTTGGGTGTATAATAATTATTGTTGTTTGCTGGTTTAGGATATGTCAACTTCAGTTCTTCAACGCTTTTCTTGAGCTGTTGCCTGTTTCTCACTCTCTCTGTAAAATTATCTCCAAACAGCCAAGTGTCTATGGATGACTCATCAATAGTCTTCCTGAGGTTTGGGTTTAGGAAAGGTAGAATTAGAAATCTACGATGTAGCGATATTGCATGAATTACATCTGATATAAGTCTGGCAGAGTCTGCCAAATCCATCAGGAGGGGGTTTGTCTCCTCAGTTGGGTTACAAAATAATTTATTAATAGGCACAGCCATTGCTGTCATTCCCCTCCCCAGCTGCTGCTGTAATTTTGACAAATAATTGTCTTGTTTCAGAGTGTTATCTGACAAACAACTCTGAATGTCTGCATTTAGTAAAGGTGGTTCAAGGCTGCTGCAGTTTTTCAACACAGGATGTTTTTCCATTATGTTCTTCCGTTCATCTTTTCCTAACCCTTTATGAAGATAATGTGTCCATCTGTTGCTGATTTCTTCATGTATGACAGGGCCCTCTGGAGTGTTGGTGCATATATTTCCCAACAAATCTGGGTTCAGCACTGAGGAAACTGAGGCATGTGCCTGCGATCCCTCTATTGTCTCAACTATTTGAGGTACATTTCCGTTCTCCGGAGATTGAGTCACATTTGTGTTGTCCGGATTTTGAGTTACATTCCCGTCATATGGGTCTTGAGCCACATTATCATGTGTTCTTTCGTTTTCCTTCCCTGAGTCATTTCCACTGAATTCAGTTTCTGATTCTGAACTGCTTTCTGAGCCTGCATGAAACATAATTATGTTATTAGTTTCCTTGTACAACACCAGAACAATATGTTCAGTGATTTTTCCATGTAGGTATTATATGATAGGAGAAAATAAGATGCATCAATTAAATTGGGTCATGTGAACCCATACCCCAGGGACATATGTATGCCCTGATAACAGGTATATCTTATTTTCTCCGATCGCATCTCATTTGAGAGCGAAATGTTTTTCACTTTCTTTGTTGTCAAGAATTCGTGACAATCGCCGCCATTTTCTTTCCTACAACATCAAATGAATGTGATTCAGTAATGTATACTTACTTGACGAAGATTGCAATTCAAGCAGAAGCCTTTTCAATTTCTTTTTCATTTTTCCACTTTTTATTATATTTTTCCTTCTCTTTCCCATCTTCAAAACTGTGTTTGTTTCTGAACGCTCTGAAACGTGTGTATGTCGTACGATACCACAGACAAAAGTGAAGTTGGACAGCCTACGGCTGCGGCGGTTGACGGTGGAGACAGGGAAACAGGGTTGCCGGTTTTACTCTTATTTTTAGGTATATTTCTTTGAACGTGGTATGAAAACGATATACTCAGGCATAACTACAGGTGTAATAATGAAGACAGAACCCGAAGTATAATAGAATAGTTTCGTGTTGGATGTAAAAAAATATAAATCAGAAAATTCTACACGAAACATTCGAAAATAGAAATTTCCGATAGAAGTTGTGATAAAAAATTAAATAAAAAATCCAGGTCCGTATTTGGGGAAGATAAGTTGATGATGGTTCCCAGAAGACGAATAAACGTCGAATTTCGAATTTTCGAATTTAAAAACGTCAACTTGTACGGAAGAAAAAGTGGTCATTCTTCCAATAACGTGACAAAATAATGAAAGAGGAAATTTCGGTTTTTTCGGATATCTCCGAAAGTATTCGGAATTCCCAAGTTTCAAAACGAAATTTCGTTAGGTATAAAATTGCACAGCTTTGCTGCAACTCAACCGACCCTGTATCAATGATGAACGAATAATTGATACGCGATATATTTTTTTGGCAGGTGTACCTCATTCTATGGTTCAAAGTGCCTGTAGAAAGTTTTTTATGTGTAGAAAAATATTCAAAAATGAAAATGTTGTGCATATTTTCAGTCAAATGTGAATTTTCGCTTATATCTCGAAAACGGTTAGAGATATCGAAATGCGGTTTTCGCCAATCGACGTATCACAAAAATCTCATATGATTATCTAGTTGTCATTCGATGAACAATCTTGATCTACCGCTCAAGAGGGGTAGTTTACTTCTGTTGTTTTTCAAAAATCCTTGCTGAACGAGCATTTCCAGTTCGAATTTTTGCTTCAAATTGCATATTTGAACATTTCATATATAGACATCTAGTTGTCACCGATAGAATAAATTCGATCCACTTCCTCAGAGGGGTAGTTTGTTCTTGCTATTTCTCAAAATTCCTTGCTGACCGAATATACTTCTAAAACGAATTTTTGCTCAATTGCATATTTGAACATCTAACAATAAACTCTTTCAAGGGTGGATTGAGATCATTCTAATTTCCACTGGTTGCACTGAAGGAAAAAATCGAACCAGAAATGCTCGGTCAGCTAGGATTTTTGAAAAACATCAGGAATAAACTACCCCTCTTGAGAGGTGGATTCAAATATGTGATTTCCAGCAAAAATTCGAACCAGAAATGCTCGGTTTGCAAGGAATTTTGAAAAACATCAAGAATAAACTACCCCTCTTAAGGGGTGGATTGAAATTATTGCCTTGGTGGCAACTGGATATCCATATAAGATCTTCAAATATGTAATTTGAAGCAAAAATTCAAACCAGAAATGCTCGGTCAGCAAAGATGTTTGAAAAACATCAAGGATAAACTACCCTTCTTGAGGACTAGATCAATATTGTTAATCGAATGGCAACTAGGTTATCATATAAGATGTTCAAATATGTAATTTGAAACAATACTTCTAACCAGAAATGATCGCTCAGCAAGGATTTATGGAAAACCGCTATAATAAACTACCCTTCTGAGGGGGTGAATTGGAATTATTTTACCAGTAACAACGATGTATCCATCAATATGACTTTATTATCAAAAATCAATCGAAATGTCGGGTCAGCAAGCTTTAATTTTGGTCAGCAAATTATATTTCCTCCACTTTTGGACTCGCCTGGCACCCTCTTCTGCTCATCAAAATCGCCTGTCAATTTTTTTCTCCATTCTACAATATCTAAATATCATCATGATGAAATTACAAGTTGACAGCGACAAGTTCATTCTTCTAATAATTTTGATCCATCACTACAAAAATTTTTAGCCTTACAGACAAACCGTTATATAAAAGGTTCACGAGCTCTTAGACTACAACTTCATTTATCAAATCAATACCATAAGTACCAAGATTTTCATATTTACTATGTGCATGATTCTTCCCGGCCTAGTCCAGGAAGTACGTACTTCTCGAACTAGGCCGGAAAAACTCTAGTTTCTCAAAGAACTTAAGTTGCTGAAAAAATATATTTGGGAAGCTGCACCATCTGGTCTGGTGATAGGTATAGGTGATTGTACTGAGTTACATGATCCAGAAAATCGTATCATATTTTCACAATAAATTCTTTTGCCCCAAACAAAATGAGGGCTAATATTTTCTGTCTCACCAGTTGGCGCTACTGGAACGTGAGGTCAATGTCAAAGTCAGAAATCCCAACATTTTCCCAGGTAGCCCTAGAGGCTGTAACCTGTTTGATCGAAAATATTCGAAAAAAATGATGTAGAATATTTGAACGAATAGAAAACTATTAGTTATGAAAAGACTCTCAATGTAGAACTTCACGACCAATTCATACATTGACGGAGAAGAAGATAGGTAGGAAGAGGCCAAATGACACGAAGAGAAGAAGTATATTTATCAATTCTACCAAATCTCACCTTACGTTTCATTGGCACGCTGTGGTCTACAACAAATAATGTTAGCCCTCATTGATACTAGAGTCACTGGATGATGATTTTGTTTTGCATTCGGTCTCATGATAACATTGAAATTTTTTTTCAATAGTCTGTTTTGTAAATCAATGGAACAACGGATCCCATGGATCTTTTTTTGAATCATCTAACCTTAATTAAATTAACAAAAACAGGTCTTTATTTGGGAAAAGGATGTTGCTTATTTTAGATAACTTTTTTTATCAGTTTCAGATTAAGCGTCCCCAAATGTCCCCCAATACATATTTTCAAGATCCCAAGAGCTGAGAAAAAAAAATTCAAAATTCCGCTTTTTATGACTACACCCGAGACTAAACCCGATACTATATCCTAAAATCCCAGTTATTTATGATGCGATTTTCTTGAAGTTTTGATAGTGCTTGCATGTTAGAAGAATAACATGGTAAACATCATCCAAGAACTCCAGTTTCTGAATCTGCAATATTTCAGAATGTCAAATATGGGACTTGAAGGACAATTCATCTTCAGAGTGGACCAACTGGAATTAGTCGTACCTGATGCCGTTTTTGGTGAGTGTTTTGTTTTCCAAAGAAGACTGGAGAGAAATTACTGAAAATCATTATGCATCATAGCTATCCATGGCACACTGGACAAATGTAGATAAATAAATACGTAGTATTTTTCTTAGTATGATGTTGAATTTTTGTTCTTATTTTCAATCCAATCGCGAATAAATTAGTATCATTTGATTCGCCAAAAAATTCATTTTTCGGAAAGTTCTTTTCAAAAAATGGCTGCCGTTTGAAAATTAATAGTGAGACAGGGAATTGTGATTCTGTCAACTTGTCTTCTTCTATTTTTATGATATACTAGCCACTAAAACTTTGTGATAGTAATTTTCTGACATCATCAATATTAAAAGTTACTCTAAATGAATTGAATATCCGTAAAAAATTCTGAAAATGTCAGACTGATCCAGAATTGTCCCAGTAATTCAAAAATATTACAATATACAGGGTGTTCCATTTGAAAATCCAAAACCGAAATCATTTCCGGTGAAACCGGTGGTGTCGTTTAAAGAAACGTTTTAAATGAGGTATCAGGGTATCAGTCGACTACTCATTCCATTCGAAATATATTCGAATATGGTGTGCCGGTGCCATTTTGAAAGATACATATTTTTTATAGAAATCGAAAAGTAGAACTGCCTACCATTGGAGAAAATAGAATTAAAAGCCTAGCCTCTCGAAAGTTAGCTAGGAGGATTACTTTATGACACAATGATTTTTAAGAAAAAAAAATAATAAAGTTCAAGAAATTATCTATTAATAAACATTTTTTTATTCGTTATTGTCACAATCCGATTGTACATTTTTCGTAAATTCCTCTCGTTATTCCACTCTTTCCATTCCAATCTTGATTTGGTTTTTCTTAGAACTGTGGTTCTGCTTATGATAATTAATTTTTTGAATGTACCTACATTGTTCCTCTGTAGAAGATATTTTTTTTTATATCAGTCTGTTGACAAAAAATATGTCATTCTCAATTATCAGAAAAGAAACCATCAGGACCACCAGAATCATGCGCGGAAGCTCCAACTTTCTGCCACGTTGATGCCAAATGTGTTGATTACGATGCAGGTTTCTGTTGTGAGTGCCATCCAAAGTACTACGGGAATGGGAGACATTGCATAAAAAAAGGTGAGAGTTCGTCAGAATGTAGAGCTTCTTTGGTCAACAATCAAAAGTCAGAATATTATCACTCTCCACAATTATTTGTATGTGTAAGTTTTTCTGTGATTGTTTTTTTCACAAAGAAATCTGGTAATTTCAACCAATAACAAAGCGTGATTTTAGCCAATAATTCGATACTCAGAGTCTTTATGACAGATAAAGTAAGTTTTCCAGCGACAAAACGGAACCTAATATTTGAAACCATGACAACCAGAATTGTGAACGAATCTTGATGGGTTTATGTCAAATTTTCTCAATCTTGCGTTGTCAGAAAAGTCCTTAATTTGTGGAAATGTAGCGGTTTGGAGAGTCTTCGAGTGGAGAAATTGGAAAAACCAACAACAATAGTGTGATTTACGGAGTCATCAGATTGTCTCACCAAATTACAGTCAAGCATTTTCATTTGGTCGAAGTAGGTAAACTTGAAATTAATGATTCGAGTTTTGTTGCCTTCAGAAAATTTAAATCAGGAAACTGCCAGGAAAAATTACTCGTCTTACAGGTAATTTTTTCGAAGACATTTTTTTTTTCGTTTGATTTCCAGGCAAAAAAATTCTCATTCAAAATTTCAAGTTTACTTCGACAAAAAAAACTCTTGTGCCATTCAAAGTGATAAATCAACTCCTACGTCACTATACTTTGGTGATGAAAAAGAATTGATAAGAGGTGTCCCTCAGGGCTCCATACTAGGACCGCTCCTCTTTATCATTTAGATCAATGATCTACGCACACTTCGTGAACTCATCTAATATAAAAATTACAATAGGCAGATGCCACTTTGAGTATAGCTTTAGACGATTTGGTAACTCCTCAGCAAATTTTCAATATAGTATATAGTAGAGAAAGCAAGAAATTCGTTCACTGCAAATGAGCTGATACTGAATGAACAAAAAACTAAAACATTAACTTTTGAATCGATAAACATGGATCAAATAGAACAAGCAGCTGTTAAATTCTTTGGTGTACAAATTGATTCAAATTTAACCTGGAAAGACCACATAAATAACCTTTGTACCAGACTCAGCAGGTCAATATAAATGCAATCAGACTGATTAAAAAATCTGTGAACCTTAATGCAGCTCTTATGACTTATCATTCAATATTCCATTCAGTTCTTAGGTATGGGACAATATCCTGGGGTTGTGCATCAAAAATTCATTTAGAAAGAGTATTTGTGCTACAAAAATTTGCCATAAGAAGTATAGCATCTGCTAAACTTGATGAAACGTGCAGACCACTAATCAAAAATCTCAAAGTAATGATATTATATTCAGTTATTGACCAAGAAAATCTATTGAATATCTGATTGAATTTGATAAAATATTCCACTCACACAGATGTGCACCAATATAACACAAGAAACAAATATGACCTAGTATTGAAAGCAAATAGACTGAGATATATGATAAAACTGCTTCTCCTCGATTGAACCGTGTTCACATTGAACTGCCAAAATTAATTAGACTTACATGTGTCTGTCATCTTGTTTCTTTTCAACCCTACTTATGTGTATGTAATAAAAATAAAATCAATCATCAATTCTCCGAGAAAAAAAATGTGACATTTTTGATCGTCATTCAACTTAGTATCACAAAAAATGTTTTATTTCTTACAAATATTACATTATGTGCCTATTAGAAGACACATAATCAACTTTGCTAGTGATTAAGTATATTGTATTTTTATCGAATTGGTGGATAAAATAATCTTTCCAAATACAGCTCGTTCTTCAAATTTCATCTATTAATTTTCAATTTCCATCATTCAAACTCTTTCATTTGAAACGAAGAGACAAAACCGAGGACAAAACCATCCAAACAAACCGAATTTAAATAAAATCACTAGTTGTTTCCATATTTTTCCGTGGAGAAGAAAAAAATTGTCGGTAAAATTAGAAGGACTCGTGGTATTACTTTTGATAATTTCTTTAGACGGCCCTCTACGTGTCAATGGAAAAGTGAATGGAAAGATCAATGGAGAAAATTTGGTTGGACTCGACCTTCAGTCTTATATTGTGATGACAGATGGAAGAGCATATACGGCAGTTTCTAAAATTCCAGAATCTATCGGATTCGATATTCAATCCCTGCAAATTTTGGGAGGTGTTATTGGTTATATTTTCGCCAAGCCTATCCGAGAAGCAGTGAATGGGTGAGTTAACAAACTATTGTTGTCATATACAGGGTGTTTCATTACTAATTAAAAATATTTCAATCATAGAATCCCGAACTCAAAATATGAAGATTTAACCCAAATCACCTAGATAAAATATGTCTCCTTTCTGAGTTACAGGGTGTCTCATTGAAAAATTTTGAAATGTTTTTTGCCCAGTTCTTCAAAACTATTTGACTTATTAATTCCATATTTGGAGGGAAGTGTAGGTATTATTCATCCAACTGAATTATGTAAAATGAATTTTTCTAGCTATTACCAGAGGCGTAGTCACTGGCGGAATTGCAATTTCATCAGAATTTTTCGATTCTTCAATACATTCTTCGTAAATATTGTACTCCGTCTTCATAGCGATGAAGTCATTGTTTTTCGAGATATTTCAAGTTAAACATGAAGCAGCACAATTATTTTGATTTTAATGTGTATCAATAATGTCGATATTTTGGATCAATTGACTGCATTCATCAATCAAATGAAACTTCAATCCATATTACCATAAAAACATAACAGACGGGAGCTGTTACAGGGCGTTTTAAATTTTTTAATATAATACATAATTAAACACCCTGTAACAGCTCCTGTCTGTTATGTAATTATGTTTTTATTGTTAATATGGATTGAAGTTTCATTTTATCGATGAATACAATCCATTGATTCAAAATATTGACAAAATCAATGCATATTGAAATCAAAATGACTGTGCAGATTTATGTTTAACTTGAAATATCTCGAAAAATAATGACTTCATCGCCATGAAGAAGGAGTACAATATCTACGTCAAAATTGTTGGAGAATCGAAAATTTGTGATAGAATTGCAATTACGCCAGTGGCGTAGAATTTGGGAGGGATCAACCAGTTAATTGCCCCTGTCGTACGCCTCTGGTAATAGCTAGAAAAGTTCATTTCACATAATTCAGTTGGATGTATAATACCTACACTCCCCTCCAAATATGAAAGTGATACGTCAAATAGTTTTGAAGAACTGAAGAAGAAACATTTCAAAATTTTTGAATAAAACATACCCTGTAACTCAGACAGGAGACATATTTTATCTACGTGATTTGGGTTAAATCTTCATATTTTGAGTTCGGGATTCTATGGTTGAAATATTTCCAATTAGTAATGAACAAAAGAAAGATGACTCGCCCGAGTAATACTTTTTATTTTTGGTAAAAGTATTTTTCTCCAACCTGAGGTTGGCTTTAGGAGAAACCAGTTTTTTTTCAAACTTCACTATTTCAGATATCAGCTCACTGGAGGAATCTTCAATCATACTGCAACTATAAATTTCTACAACACTAGTCAAACTGTACGGATAAAGCAGAAGTATATGGGTCTAGATGTTTTCGATCAGTTGCGTCTAGAAGCGGACATTCAGGGAGAAATTCCCAATTTACCTGATGATTCCCGAGTAAGTTGAATAAACACGAAAATATCTTGTCACGTTATTTATGTGCAGAAGGAACACTAATTTGTTATGACTTATAACTGCTTTTTTTTTCATCGCTTGGAGCGCACGAAAGGAAATCCCTATAATGTTCAAGGAACATCGTGCGTTCCTAGGGAGGATAGGGACAGGAGGAAGGTATTGGAATTTTTTTTGAACTTCTGGAGATTATATGTTGTTGGGAATACTTCCTCAATCCTCAGGCAATGAATTCCAGAGCCTAGCCGTTCTATGGATGAAGGAGTTTTGATAAAGTGCTGTTCGACATCTTTCGAGGTTGACAACGAAAGGATGTGCTGACTGGGCTTGTCTAGTTCGTCTGACTGGTATTGCTAGTGAAGGGATGATAGCAGAGATTTCCGAAGAACATTTCCCGTGGAAGTATCGATAGAAAAGTGAAAGGTCGCCGACCTTTCTACGGTGTTCCAATGATGTCAAAGAGTGAGTGAATGTGGCGTCACCCACCAGGCGAATGGCTCTTCTCTGGATATAATCTAAGAGCATCAGCGTATGTTTTGGTGCTGAACCCCATATGTGAGAACAGCATTCTAGAACAGGCCGTATCTGCGCTTTGTAGATCATGAGAAGCTGTTGAGGTGTAAAGTAGCTTTTCGCACGGAACAAGAATCCGAATTTTTGTGAAGCAGCTTTTGCGATGGATCTGACATGATTATTCCATGAAAGAGTGTTGCTGATGGAAATACCGAGCATAAGTATGGTGGGCTTGGTGGGGATGGTGATGCCAGACATAACAATATCGGGCATACTGAGTTCCGCCTTTCTAGAGAAAATACAGGCTTAAGTTTTGGTGGCGTTGAATTCAACTAGGTTGTTGGTTCCCCAGGCTGTGATTTCAGCAAGGTCTTCATTGACAGCATTGACCTGCCTGCGCCGTGAGTTCTTAGTTTCCTGGGAAGAAATGGGAATTCTGGAAGAGAACGCAGTATGGAGGGTACTATCATCTGCAAAGCTGTGGATCGGGCAAGTTGTTGCTCCCAACAGATCATTGATATGAAGAAGGAATAATGTTGGTGCCAAAATTGATCCTTATATGGAACGCCAGAATTGATGCCAAGGGTATCAGAAGATACACCGTCCACCACCACGTGAAGCGATCTGCCTGAAAGAAAACTCGATAAGAGATGGCATAGCTGAGGTGGTAAGCCGTACGATGGTACTTTGTGGAGGAGTCCTTCGTGCCAAACACGATCGAATGCTTTCGATATGTCCAACGCGACAGCTAGAGATTCGCCGTGTTTTTCTAATGAAGCTTGCCATAAATGGGTGACGTAGGCAAGTAGATCTCCAGTAGATCTTCGGGGGCGAAAGCCGTATTGTCTATCATTGATGATTCCTGAGTTCCCCAGATATTTGGTAAGGTAAGCTCAATATTGATGGCTTTCTCCATCACTTTAGAGATAACTGATAACAGGGCAATGGGCCTGTAGTTGTTGGGCAGGTTCTTGTTCCCTTTCTTGGGGATTGGTTGGACTCTAGCTATCTTCCAGCATGATGATGTTGAAGACAAGCAGTAAACATTGGCGGAGGAACAATTTTCATTCGGGGGGGCTACAGTCAGAGACTTGCTTACGTAAATTGAATGAAAAATGCGAATATGATTTTTCTGCAGCACTCATAAACTATTGACATTGTATCTATTGTAATATCATGAAAATGCTTATCACTTTCGCTTCTTTGGAGTTTGTATTATATAATAATAGATTCAGTTGAAGAAAAATGACATTTTCAGTTGAGGTAAGAAATCAAGTTTTGAAAATTCAAAAACTAACAAAAGTCAACAAAATATCATGAATTGTAATGACAGTTTTCTCTTCTTTCTCTTCTTTTCGTCTGAACTGCCATCCTAAAAAACTTTTTTTCCACGAACATCTACCTAATTTACAGTTGCAGCTGTGAATTAGCACTAATTCACAGTTGTAACTGTAAATTATAGGCAGAGAAATTTTTTTTTCAAAGCACCACCTAATTTACAGTTGCAACTGTTTTTCAAAGTAGTTACGATTTTCATTATAAAAAAAAAACCATTCGTGACGATTTCCAATTACGAATGGTCTATTCATAGATGAAATGATGAATATATATAAAATGGGCATTCCATTTGCATCATTTGTGTTCAGCTACGACCAGCCACTCCCTCATGGGAATTTTGGTTTTGGAGTATTTCTTTCCTTCTTTCCCACTCAGATGGCGTTGCTCTCATATTGTCTATGGAGGACGTCTCTGAGGGAATTTAATGCCGGCTCAATTTTTGTTTGGCCAGGCTACGCTTGGTCGGCGGTCTTAAGACTGCTAGCTGGAGACTGCCCTGCACTAATGAAAGTCAAAGAGCTCGAAACCGGTATGTAGGTGTCTAGCGTGGCGTGGCTACATCGCAATCAAAAGGAATTCAGGAAAGAATCATCTGTATCAGTATTCGTTTATACGACTCGATTTGACCTCATATATTATTATCGTTTCGTGGTATGAAAAACATGATTCAACAGGGATATGCGATTCTATAAAAATGCCCGAAGTTTTTTTTGTTTCATGTTTCTTGTTATTTCCAGTACCAGAATATGATTCTTCCAATAGTTTTTAGTGAAATAGAGTTACTCTTGTCAGAATGTCGTAAGACGAACCGTTTTCGTGAAGAATGTAATTTTTCATTTTGAAGTTCGAAAAAATTCACCTTAGTGAATAAATTTGTGGAATTTCACCAATTTCTATTACAAAAAATCAACATCCCGTTCAATTCTAATGAAACAAAAATGCCTGAAAATGCAAAATTTAAAGTATCAAGCTTCACTGAGCCTCTGAGGAAATATAATGCCGACTTGATTTTTGTTCGGCTATAGGCTACGCTTAGTCGGCGGTCTTAGGACTACTGGCTGGAGGCTGCCCTGGTGAGAGTCAAAGAGCTCGAAACCGGTCTGAAGGTGTATAGCGTGGCTAAATCGCAATCAATAGGCATTCAGGAAAGAATCACTTGTATCAGTACCTATTCGTTTATACGAGTCGATGCATATATATCGGAAGGATGTAATTCAATGATTTCAATGTTCTGCGTGGCATTATCTATTTATTTATTCATTTATTTATACATAATACATTCAACAGGCCGGATCCCAATTACAGGAGAATATAATAATAATAGTTATAATAAGAATAATAATTACAATGAACCAATGTAGGTGAACAAATGGAAATATATAACTAGTTCGGAATAAGAGTGTACAATTGCTTTCTGAATTGGGTTAAATTTGAAAAAAATATATCTACAGACGGCACATTATTGAGGCTTCTACACATAGATGTGATAGGACTATTGAGGTGATGTTGTGAATTTGGAACATCGATTCGGAAAGTCAGGTTTGATCTTGAAGAGATACGGGGTATGTTGAAACTCAGTGTGGATAAAAGGGACGCCGAATCTATTTGATTATTTATCAATTTATATGCAAATATCATGTCTGCTATCTCACGTCGTTTTTTCAAGCTAACGAATGCAAATTCTTTTAGTAGCAAATCGTAATCGCAGTGACGTTCAGGATAAATATTATATTTTTTGAAAAACAAAAATTTGAGAAATTTTTTTGTACTGTTTCCAATGCTTGTATGTGTTCAACTTGGCTTGGGTTCCATACCGCACTGCAGTATTCAAGCTTGCTACGTACAATGCAGTAGTAAATAGAACAAAGAGCTGTAAGATTCGTAAATTCTTTACAATTACATATGAGGAAACCTAGAGCCCTATTGGCATTGGATTTAATTTTTTCAATATGTAAATTGAATATTAATTTGCTGTCAAATATAACTCCCAGATCTGTACATTCGTTTACCCTGCGTAGTTTACCATCTTCGATGAAATATTCAAATAAAAATGTAGAAACTTTTCTAGAATAGCTCATAATTTTGCATTTCTCAATATTCAGGGGTAAATTATTTTCAGAACACCATTTGAAAAGAAGATTCAGATCGTTTTGCAGACGCAAACAATCTGCAATATCTGTAATTTCTGTGAAAATTTTCATGTCATCTGCAAAAAGGAGTTTGCTTGATTTAATTGAAATGCATATATCATTTATAAACAAAAGGAATAGAAGAGGCCCCAGATTCGATCCTTGAGGTACTCCTGATCGAATGAGCTATGAAGTTGACGGATTGTACACCTTCATAGTCGACGAATAAATTCCTATCACTGAGGTACGATTTCAATAGTAATTGGATATTAGGGGGTATACCGAGTTAGCCAGGGAAGTAGTTGTTTTTCTCCAGAAATCTACCATTGTTGTTCATTTTATGAACATTATGTGGAAATGACTGAGCTTCCTGTATTTATTTGTGTTTAGGTTATATTCAACGAATATCAAGAACAGTACACGATGACCGGTCCGGGTGTCATCCAGATGACTTCTCAAAGGGAGTTCAGATACAATGATCCGAATGGCGATGAGGTGGTCATGGTCTACAACGTCGATCAAACGTTCGTCTTCGATTATTGTGAATTCGATAACCAGTCCGTCGGGGAAACTTGGAAATTGAAAGTCGGCAAGAATTTCATCAGCTACGAGAGTAGAGAACAGATCATTCGATATGGGCTCAGCAATAAAATCACCCCAATAGGAGGTAATTAGTCATATGTACAGTGTCATTAATAAAGTCGGCATCATATGGGAAAAACTTTTGATACTGATTTATTTCGAAATTCGGCTTGGGCGTTAAGTTATGCTTTGAAAAATATGAAAAATGAACTACTAGGTAGGGTCACGCGTGACTTTCGCTACATGTCAAAAGTTGAATTTTTCAAACTAATCGCTGAATATAGACTTATTTGTTTGGACTTCGATAAGGTTTTTTTAAGAGAGTTGTTTCTATCCCAATTTTACATATGTGCCTCGAATTTGGACGTTCCATAACAACTTTTAGTTTTTGATATTTTTTCAATTTCTACGACATGTCTGCAATATTAAAAATAATTAAAACTGACAAAACTATTTCATATCAGTATAGTTTCCTCACGCTACTGATTTTCAATCACTAATCATCTTTGGAAAATAATAATCCCGGCTTCAAATTTCTGTTATGTTTGATGCAAATTTGATGTATCGTTTATCATTAAGGGACGAAATATATTTAAATTAATTCTTTCAGTAATCAGATGATGCCAAAGTCATCTATCAAGATTTCATCAAACCATAGATTATGGCATATTCTCGAAATCGGTCAAATGTCAATTTTCGCCTATATCTCGGAAACGGGGGTGTATAATTTGCTGACAAAAATTGAAGTATGCTGACCAAGCATTTCTGATTCGAATTTTCTCTTCAAATTGCATATTTGAATATCTTATTCAGATATATAGATGCGCCCAGTATGATTATTTCGATCCACCCTTTCAGAGGGGTAGTTTATTCTTGCAGTTTTCCAAAAATCCTTGCTGATCGAGCATTTCTGGTTCGTATTTTTCTATCAAATCACATATTTGGATTTCACATCCCTAATAACACAATAACACCCGTGTCAGCATTTGCGATGTCTTATAAACATCCCATCAGAATGTTTGTGGGATGATACGGGATGTACCAGAGACATATTCAGGGTACTTGATATGGAACATCTTAAACTTTTATATAGGATGTTTTTTGTTTGATGACAGTAATGGATGACACGATATGAATTATTTTCAATCTGAAATCCTGAAAATGGCCGACCTATTTCCAGATATCAAGTAACAATCCGAATCCGAAAATATAAGGTCGGTGCGGTCCAATAACTAATGGAAGATGATAACAGTTGTTTGAGGCCATAGATAAACTACACTCTTCTAGATGGCCAACGCACATGTTAACCTCTTGTTCGATTTTCGCCATCAGCGCCTCTGGTGTTTGGTGGCGCAACTATTTCGAATAGCGGGAATTTTGAATAATTCATGATATGATATAAGAAAAGGAGAAGTTTTCGTGAATAGTGGGAGAGATGAAATATCATAAGCACTTTATGCTTCCATCTTTTCCCACAATTCACAGACACTGTGAAATGAAAATGGTCGGTGAATTAGAACAAGTTATCAAAATGTATACTTTTTTAATTAGGTCATACATAAACACCTGTTATGATCACAATGAAATATAACTCAACAATCATCACAGGATGTTCAAACACTTTATCCTCTACATAAACCTGGGATTTTCTTTACTAAAATTTGGAAAACGATGTCAGGAGAGGAATATCAAATCCCACGTCCTGGCACTGCACACCAGCCCAGTCTCATCATAAACTTTGTTCGAATCAAAAGTGAATTATTGTTGACTTCTTCAATCATGATTGAAAAAAGAAGTAATGGCCATAAATCGAGAATATTGCACTTTGAAACGGAAGAACCACACTTGTAGACGGGACAAAATCACAACATTCACAACAAAGAAATGGCAATCGTCATTCGTCAACAATACATGAACGCCATCTTGAAATCAATGCCTGCGTCTGCGCCACGTCTGCGCACTATCACAGATCACGGATCATTATGTCAAATGGCCACCTATTGTTTGGTGGCTAAACTATAAAATGGAACAAGGTCGGTCCATTGAAGTTGGAGGTCTATAGAGTGTAGTTTGTTTATGTTTGAGGCTCATCATATTTGTTGGCGCTGGGCCGACGGCTGTAAGCTACTCTTAGCAACGTAGTTGTACCGCCATCTATCGGCTGGTATAACAAATAAATTCAGCAATAAATATGCTGAAGAGATATATTTTGATTTTGTCGTTTATTACATGGCTCATGAAGTTAAGCAGGTACTTTGGTAATCTTATTGAGGAATATTTAGTATAATTATTTCAATTTGTTATCGATGAAATTAGCCGGCTTTGGTATAGGTATAAGTATATATGTACGAATACAGTTTTGATTTCCATTTTTTATCAACTTTTCAATGTTTCAAGTGTCACAATTGTTTGAACTGTTCAATCATGACAATCATCATTAGCAGATATGGAACCATATATTGTTTATAAAAAAAAGATCAAATGGGATGTTTTTAGAACATCCAATGCAAACATCTGGTGAATGTCCCAAGAGAAACATCTCTGGGATATCGTACCTAAGTCTGAAACATTGGGACATTTGTAGGACCTTAGCGGGAGGTACCAGCAAGATCCCGTGTTGTTAGGGATATAGATATATAGATGCCACAAGTGGAATTATTTCGATCCACCCCTTCAGAGGCAGTTTATTCTTGCTGTTTTTCAAAAATCCTTGTTGACCGAGCAATACTGGTTCGTATTTTTTCATCAAATTACATATTTGAAAATTATATTATATTTTTTATATATATATTATTATATTATATTATATTTATATATGCAACATGTGGAATTATTTCGATCAACCTTTTCAGAGGGGTAGTTTATTCTTGCCGTTTTTCAAAAATCCTTGCTGACCGAGCATTTTTGGTCCGTATTTTGACATCAAATCACATATTCTGATATCTAATATAGATATATAGATGCCATCAGTGGAATTATTTCGATCCACCCCTTCAGAGGGGTAGTTTATTCTTGCAGTTTTTCAAAAGTCGCTGCTGACCGAGTATTTCTGATTCGAATTTTTCCTTCAAATTGCATATTTGAATATCTTATATAAATATATAATAAACTACCCCTCTGAAAGGGTTGATCGAAATAATTCCACTAGTGGCATGTATAAATACAGGGTGAGTCATGAGGAACTGTACATGCTCCTACTACGAATAGAGGCACCTGAGGGGAATACCAAATGACCATCAGGAAGTGTCTCCGCCTCTTCTAAAATAATCTATAGGGTGATTTATGGGATATGGCCAAAACTTCTTTCAATCATAACTTTCCAACAGTTATTTCGATTCTTTTCATTTTCTCATGGATTATTATGCTGTCACTCAGCAATCAACTGACGTATCCAGAATTGTGAAAATCCAGGACCGGTCTTGAGAAATTCTGCCCATTTGGTTCATATCCAAAATTTCACCCTGTATAAGGTTTTAGTTGACTGTGATATGGAATTTTCATAGTTGATGAACAGGCAACCAAAATGAAGTATTTCAAATTTTGCTCACACTTTCATTGAATTTCTTATAAAATGAATAATTTATACTACACGCGAAACTTGGGCAACAAATGTATCAATTTGAAACTTAATACTTCGCAATGCATGAATTTCACGAATAAAAGAAACTATGAAATTATTCCCAATTCTTCAGCTCAACAATAATCAACATTCTTCTATTTCCTGGGTAGGATTCAGTAATTTTTTGGTAGAGGGTAATGATTATCAAAAATTTCACCCTGTATGAGATTTTAGTAAACTGTGACCTGAAATTTTTGAAGTTGACAAACAAGCAACTATAATAAAGCATTCCAAATCATCCATACTGTTTTAATGGAATTTCTTCAAATAAGAAGATCAATTATTATCAAACACGAAACTTAAGCAAAAAAAATAATTAATTTTAAAATAAATACTTCGCAACGCATCAATTTCACGTATAAAAGCAAGATTGACATTAATTCCAATTCCTAATCTCAATAATAATCAACTATAATTCCCAGGGTTGTATTTCTTTTTTTATGTGGAAAGTAATAATCATCCTGTATGATGTTATAGATGGTAATGTGATGGACGAATGTTATACTTGAATCATTCAAATATTCTGAGGTTTTTAACAGATTTTCAATAGAGATTCTGAGTATTCCTGAATATTCCAGATTTCAGTTGATGACCCACCCCTTTCTGTTGAAAGAAATTGCCTGAAAAATTCTTGATTCGAATTTTTATAATATTGCGGATTTCTAAAAAACACTACGAAAGATTTTTGCGTCAATGATTTTCAAGATTTGCACATACCATCAGGATAAAATTATACAGTGTGACTAATGCTATTACCGTCTACCAAAAAATTACTGAATCCAACCCTGGATATAGTGAAATGTTGATTTTCAGTGAGCTGTAGAATAGGGAATGATGTTATTCTTGCTTCTATATATTCGTAAAATTCTAGCGTTGCGTAGTATTCATTTTCAAATTAATACATTTGTTGCCAAAGTTTCGCATGTAGTGAAAATTGATCGTACTCTATAAGGATTTCGGTGAAACTCTGAGGAACATTTAAAACACTCCATTTTGGTTGCCGGTTTATCAAATTTGACAGTTCCATGTCACAGATTACTAAAACCATATACATGGTGAAATTTTTGGTGACTATAACCCTCTACCAAAAAATCACTGAATTCAACCCTGGAAATAGAAGAATGTTGATCATTGTTGAGCTGAAGAATTGGGAATAATTTCATCATTACTTTTATTCGTGAAATTCATTCATTGCGAAGAATTCATTTTCTAATTAATACATTTGTTGCCAAGGTTTCACGTGTAGTATAAATTAATCATTTCCTAACAAATTCAATGAAAGTGTGAGGAAAATTTGAAATACTTAATTCTGGTTGCCTTTTCATCACCTTCAAAAATTCCATATCACAGTTTTTGATATGAACCAAATTGGCAGAATTTCTCAAGACCGGTCCTGGATTTTTACGATTCTGAATACGTCAGTTGATTGCTGAGTGACAGCATAATAATCCATGGAAAAATGAAAGGAATCGAAATAACTGTTGGAAAGTTATGATTGAAAGAAGTTTTGGCCATATCCCATAAAATCACCCTGTATATTATTTTAGAAGAGGCGGAGACACTTTCTGATGGTCATTTGACATTCCCCTCAGGTGCCTCTATTCGTAGTAGGAGCATGTACAGTTCCTCATGACTCACCCTGTATATATGTGATTTTCAAATATGTATTTTGATATTGCTCGTGCAGCAAGGATTTTCGAAAAACTGCAAGAAGAATAAACAACCGCTTTGAAGGGGTGGATCGGAATTATTTTACTGGTGGCATCTATATATATTCATGTAAAATATTCAAATATGCAATTTGAAGAAAAAATTCGAACCAGAAATGCTTGGTCAGCATACTTTAATAATTGTGGTCAGCAAATTATATATTCCCCCTCGGAAACGGTTACAGATATCGAAATGCGGTTTTCACCAATCGACGTTTCACAAAAAATCGAGCTCTAGACTCCTTGGTTAGTTTTTCTCTAGCTGTTCTGGAAATAGGAAAAACTGCCAAAATCAAGCAATTTGGGACACCCGCTGTAACTTCTGCATTCGTCAACGGATTTTTCTGAAATTCGGTACAGTTATATAAGCAACTATTTCGGATTTGATCACATTACAATCCAATATGGCGGACTTCCGGTTTTTCTGGAAATGCCAGCAATTTTGTTTTTTCAAATGGAACACCCTGTATATTTTTACATATTCAAGTTCAACAGGTCAAAACAAGTGCAATCTTGATGTCAAATGTCATCTATTTCACAGCCTACCTAGTTGAAAAATTATTCTAACTGCAAGGAAATTCATAAACTAGTTGTTGATTTTTGAATGTATACAATGTGTTACTGCACCGAAAAACAAAAATTATATTTCATTTTGTTCCTTGATGTATGATCTAGAGAAACGGGTAGATGGCCCATAGGGGTTCCATTTGAAAAAAAATAATTTTTGATCAAAAAGTGATGTGGCTGAATTGATTCCTGGATAAGTGACACGAAAAATAATTTTTCAGAAAAAATTATGTTCTTCTGTTATGTGTGACTCATTGTGAATAGTCTTGGCCACATCTCATTTATCCACGAGGTAAAATGAAAAAACAATTTTTTTTTTTTTCGAAAAAATTACATTTGAAATAAAGATTGCACTTGTTTCGACCTGTTGAACTTGAATATGTAAAAATATACAGGGTGTTTCATTTGAAAACACAAAGTTGCTGGTCCGCCATATTGGATTGTAATGTGATCAAATCCGAAATAATTGCTTCTATAACTGTACCGAATTTCAGAAAAATCCGATGACGAAAGCAGAAGTTACAGGGGTGGCCCGATACCCTGTGTCACCCGGTATAATTATTTTCTCAGATTTCGATCCATGCGAAACAGGCAGATCACAATGTACGGAAAACAGCGCTTGCGTTGTTGAAAACGATTCCTTCCGTTGCATTTGCAACCCTGGCTACCAGAGTTTTTTCGATGGCAATCAGACTACATGCACAGATGTCAACGAATGTCACACTGGCCAGCACGAGTGCGATTACAATGCAGAGTGCGTCAACGTGATTGGTAAGTACTTTACCTGGCTTACAGGGACCCCGCTACCATATGTGCAAAGTGTGCAATGCACACGGGCGCCATCCTTTAGGGACGCCAAAACCCAGGGTCAAAAAACGGAATATAATAATAATTTCAAAATAAAAGTTGAGAAATTAAATAGAATTTGATATAAATACCGAGGGAAATTCGCTGCCTAAATTCTGTACACCATTGCCATACATTGCCACGCATTGCCACGCATTGCCACGCATTGCCACGCATTGCCACGCATTGCCACGCATTGCCACGCATTGCCATGCATTGCCACACTCTTGCACATTCGGAAATTCAAAGATTCCTGAAATTAGGTTTCAAACAAAACAGAATTTAAAAACGAAGACTTGAATGAAAATATAATATCCATTATTTTGCACTTCACAAAAACGAAATTATAAAATGGGCGTGTACACCTTAGTAGAACTTTTCACTCAAACCATGTTTATAATGATCCTTTTATTCATAAATAATGATTGGCGACATAATTCGATCGAAAAATTATCTGGAATGTTTTATTTTTGGACATAAATAATAGTACCTTCTGAAAACGGACCCTCTTATGACGTAGAAACCTCGTCTCGCCATAGTTAAAAGAAAATACCAAACGCCCGACGGAGACTGAGGCAACTGACATATTATTTCTTTCAACTGTGATCTCGCGCTAATTCACTCTGTCAGAAAGCATGTATCATTCATCTCTGTCTTGTTTCAGTATTAGGGTTTTGACGTCACATCATCGCCTCGTTTTCAGAGGTCCGAAAAATCGGGGATTTCAATAATTTTTTATAAAACGTAGGGACCTCACAGCAAGAAACGGTTTGCGGTGGTGTGCTAGTTTGGGTGAGTTCTATCGAATTATGAAATAATTTTTTTTTGTGATATAAGCCCATTAACATAAGAAAACTTAAAAAAAAACAGAAAAGGTAGGAACCTCGGTACTCGGTAGGAACATGAATGTTTAGGGAGTAATGTACTGAAAATAAATTAATGAACGATTCGAAAAACTAATCAAAATACAAACATGAAATGTTCAGACAGTAAATAAATAAATAAACGATACTAAAAACTAATCAAATAGTATAATGCTCAGTCTCAAAGTTGCACAAAAACTAAAATAAAATAAATTCCGACGAAAAAAAAGTGAGATCACTAAATCCATGACCGAATCATTTCATCACTTTGTACATTTTCATTATATTTGCCATATCAGTATGTATTATCTCGAAAGGTCCATTGCCCAAAATATTAAGAGGCCCATAGAAATAGTTATTTACACTACAAGGGAGGCAAGTGATACTTACCAGTCGAGGACATTGTTTGCGCCCGAGCGATAGCGAGGGCTTGCAAAATAGTCCGAGACTGGTCAAGAACACTGCCTCCCGAGTTTTGTATTATATTTTTTCTACTCCAGTTCCCTTAGATTAAAAAAAATGTTTTTCAATTACTTATATAATTTGACTTATCTAACTGAAAAACCCTGTATGTATGACAGGTTTCCTAGTGTTACACGTTGATCGCTATGGAATTCATATTGTTTATAATCAAACAAATGTTCTGTCAGTGTCATTTTATTAAAAAAATCGAAATAATGGATATCGATGCAGTTGCGAATGCAGCTTGTGCTGCTCTATTACCTCAGAAATCGAAGGAACGGTACAATCGGTGTTACAAGGACTTCAAGGCTTGGTGCAGTAATATTGCAAGTGGTGAAAGCATTACCGAGAACTCTTTGCTGGCGTACTTTGTAGAGAAGTTACAGACCCTAAAGTCCCCTGCAAGTTTATGGAGTGAGTATTCGATGCTAAAATCGACGTTATCCATTCAAGACAATGTAGACATTTCCAAATTCCTTAAACTAAAGGCGTTTTTGAAGAGAAAAAATGATGGCTATAAGCCAAAAAAGTCTCAAGTTTTCACGCGAGAAGAAATAGAAAAATTTTTGACAGAAGCCGACGATAGAAGTTTTTTATTAATGAAGGTAGTGATGGTCGTCGGGATTGCTGGAGCATGCCGCTCACAAGAATTATGCGATCTGAGTGTAGAGAATGTCCAGGAAATGGAAAATTTAATTATAATCAATATACCTGATTCAAAAAATGGTACATCTAGAAGATTCACCATCACTGCAGACAAAGACAGTAAAATCTGCCATTTAAACATTTTTAAAAGATATCTCAAAATAAGATCGTTGGTTGAAAGATCCCAACAACGCTTTTTTTGAGATACCAAGAAGGCAAATGCTTGAATCAGCCTGTGGGAAAGAACACTTTCTCAGCTATTCCCACAACAATAGCAAAATTCCTCAGACTGCCTAACGCTGAAGCTTATACCGGCCATTCGTTTAGAAGAACGTCTGCCACATTATTAGCTAACACTGGTTCAAGTGTTTTAGCTCTTAAAAGACATGGGGGCTGGAAGTCGGAGACGGTTGCTGAAGGTTATGTTGCTGATAGTCTTTGCAATAAGAACGAGGTGGCAAACAAAATTCTTTATAACAAGAATAACAGCGATTCAAATTCATCTGCTATTCATCTGCCTACCACATTGACCAGCGCTGTAACAAGAATTTCTGATAACATAAGCACAACAGTAGAAGTGTCCAAACAGCTGCAAGAGGTTTCCCCACATTTTTCAAACTGTAATTTTTCAAATTGTACTATAAATGTTAATTTAAAATAAAGAGTTCAATTTTTAGGTTAAATTATGAAGTTTATTTAACTTGCTTCCCTAGGGAGGTAAATATTTACTTACCTCCCTAGGGAGGTAGAACGTGTTTTCCTCCCTCAAATCATTATCAAAATGAAGTACTTACCGAGTAAGGAGTAGAAAAATATATTTTTTATTCACATTCGATAAATACACACGAAATTTCATTATTATATGATCCAGTTTTATCCTCTGCCGATTCCTATGTTGCGAGAACATGTCAGGCGGTAGTTTCTTGATTTTTCCTGTTCAGACCTGAATCATCCCTATAAAAGCGATGCATATTTTCAAACCGATTAGTTCACTGGACCGTGCAACAAGTGCATGAAAAATTATATCAAGTGCTGTGTTGTGAGTATACTATTTTGTTTATTACTTTTCTTCTTGAAAAATTACGTGCTAAATACCTGTTGACTGCAATTTAAACGGTTTGATTTTTCATAAAATGGTAAGTGTTCCTTACTTTTATACTATCAACATTAACCCTTTAGGATACTGGTTATAGTTTTTCTTTCACTGAAATATCTTTTTTATAATTGAAATGTTTTGTACGAGTAAAGAAGTAATTAGTTTTTTATCCATAACTCGCTTAGTTTTTATGCTATCGATCTTTTGAAAACAAACATTTTGTAGGGTAACATCAGGTCCTGCAACAAGTGGTGGCGGTTGTAGCAGCAAAACAGCTTCTACTAATGCAGAGCCCGATAAAGCAATGACGAGAGATTTTTGATGGTATGAATTAAGCGATATAATTGATGAATTTGCAATATCAAATAAGTCTCGGAAAATATCGCTACTACAATAGTTATTTTTATTTTTCTATTGTACCTTGCTATCATTTTTGAAGTATAAGTAGAAAGTAGTACTTATATATGACATTAGGCAATATTTCTGTTATTTGTTCCTGAAAAAGATTTGATTTTCAGATTTGGGATATTTTCTATTTATGAACAAAGTGTATCTGTCCCATTATAGTTGAGTAAATGCTTTAAAATGAGTGTGAACAAGAATTTATTTTAATTCATTTTGTAATGATTTTATTCTGCTTGTTTCTTTTCTACAGATAAATATAACTTCCAAAGTTCAGTTTTTTGCTTTCTTTCAAGCACCCACCTATACCAACCTACCTCCAAAGAAATAAATGAAAATACATGATCCAAAATGCCTTAGGGGCGCCAAAATCCGTTTTTGCACACAGGCGCCAGTAGCCCTTAAGGGGGCCCTGCTCACCTATACGGGGTATTCTCAGAGGTCAGGTTAATTCAACAGGATGGAAAAATAAGTAATTTCCACAGAACCAAAACAGTTCTACAAAAGCATTCATAGTCAAGCACCAAAATAACTACAATTTCTTGCCATTTCTATTCCTAACTTATTTCTGAAAAGAGTGAACACTCATTCATTTGTTTTATCTTTCATATATTCGAAATCACTGTCTTCAACATGTCTGGAATATGAGATAATTGAAGGGGCAAGTGGAACAAGGAGTTATATCACAAATATGAGTTTGTGAGAGAAATAGGTTTTTGTAAAGTTAGCTGACATATTTTAATAGAAGCTAGTTTAGAGCAGTTTGCTATCATATCATTTTTTGATAGACATCTGGACTTATGCGTACATAAACCTTTCTTCCATTTTTTGACATGTAGGCAATGAGCACAAAGCTTCTTCTTCCATTGCGTCTTTGATCTTTAATGTAACATAGCCCCTTCTATACCACTGATGTGTATATGCGGAAATATGATGAATAGGAACTATTCCTGAACGGGGCAGTTACATATGCACGTAACACCTTTTTCCATGACATAACCAGATTTTTTCAGAAAATGTTACTTGACCCCTTCTTCCACATGCGCCTTTTATCATTATGATGCTGAGATTGTCATCCAAAGGTCTTCCTATAGTCTGTAGCCAAATTGAACGGCTTCTCTCTTATCGATCAAGTGACAAATATTAATTTTTTTTATCGCTTGGAGCGCACGAAAGGGAATCCCTATAATGTTCAAAGAACATCGTGCGTTCCTAGGGAGGATAGGAACAGGAGGTGGGTATTGGAATTTTTTTGAACTTTTGGAGATTATACTTCCACAGGCAATGAATTCCAGAGCCTAGCCGTTCTATGGATGAAGGAGTCTTGATAAAGTGCTGTTCGATATCTTTCGTGGTTGACAACGAAAGGATGTGCTGACTGGGCTTGTCTAGTTCGTCTGATTGGTATCGCTAGTGAAGGGATGATAGCAGAGATTTCCGAAGAACATTTCCCGTGGAAGTATCGATAGAAAAGTGAAAGGTCGCCGACCTTTCTACGGTGTTCCAATGATGTCAAAGAGTGAGTGAGTGTGGCGTCACCCACCAGGCGAATGGATCTTCTCTGGATGGAATCTAAGAGCATCAGCGTATGTTTTGGTGCTGAACCCCATATATGTGGGAACAGTATTCTAGAACAGGCCGTATCTGCGCTTTGTAGATCATGAGAAGCTGTTGAGGTGTGAAGTAGCTTTTCGCACGGAACAAGAATCCGAGTTTTTCAAACATAAACCTGAGATAATGGATTTTTTCCCAAAATGGCCCTGAGATACTGAAGGTTGGATATGTGAAACACCTGAGATATGTGATTCAATGGATAATTCCTATGATTTCATAACTAGGTATAATATCTGTTCAAGTCATGACATTTTCACCACATGATATTTTCCTGAACCGATTGAAATAGAAACAGATGGTTACGAATTAACAAATACTGAAATAAACATGACAAATGATTTCGCAGTTTCGTGTTCATTGTTGTTGTAATTCCTAATGAACAGAAAATCAAAAAAACAGACGATTGATTATATGCACTTTACTTAACACTCAGGTAGACTAATATTATATAGATATCACGTTGGACGATGTCCTTCTTTCAAAAGTATCGATATCTTCGTTACCTTACAATGTTTATTATGGTGATTTCATGTGAAGACACTTATTTTCACGAGTTCTACATCCTGTTAAAAATGATGCCTATTAACCTTTGAATATTATTATTTCCATAGGTAGTTATACTTGTCAGTGTAACCCCGGATTCGAAGGTAATGGACATGTGTGTGAACACGCAAAATCTTGCGAAAATGTCACATGTTTCGAGAATGCAGAATGTTCGGAAAGCAATGGAGTTGCTTCCTGTAGATGTCAAGAGGGCTTCACAGGTGAGAGACAAATTCGCATCACTTACTTATTTGAAGATAAATTTCTAGTACATTGACACAATGAATTAGGTACGTTAACTTTACTCCCAATCTCAAATAGACTTGAAAAGAGGATAGGTGGGAGGTCCATAAATCAGACTCTTCGGTTACCTAACTGAATTAACTATGTTTATTATCAGATGGATAATAAATGAATGAAAGTGAATAAAAATAGGATCTGGATCTAACTAAATAACATAAAACTGACTTTTGTGATGTTTACTGCATCCAAAGACTAGTTGGGAAATAGTGATAATTGAATATTAACCATAAAGAATCATGATAATCGAGTTATCAACTCGAGTAGTTGATAACTCTACAACTCATAATGAAAGTGAAGAATTCAAATTGCAGATTACTCTCCAGCGTTCCGCCAAGAACGAAATTTCCCAAAATTGTGCCAAACATTACTTTTGTATAGTTAGTATATCATGTGACATGTGGGAAGTTAAAACCCAACACCAATAAATTGTGTCTGGCAAATCATTTCTTCGTTTGGAGGTTTGGAGGTATTCAGAAATCTCTCAACTAGCTTGAATCCATCCAAAGGAAACCATAAATAACATTCAACATATGTTGCAAACCTAACAATATTCACTTGACAATTTATTATTCTTCCAAGAAAATATACGTAGTATATTATGGTTGTCTTCGCATGGGCAAAAAGCAATAAACCCAGATCCTTTACAGTATGTGTTTGAATGAAGAAAAAAACTATTCGGACTATGGTCAGATGGACCAAGCTGGCCTTGTCCGTTTGGTTTTACAATCCAAAAATGATATCGGGTTGTTGGAAAAAAGGCATAGTAAAAAAACGACAACTGTCTTTCCACCACCATGCCATTATTTACCAAGTATTCTGATCGCAACATACCAAAATCTGAATCTATCGGTTGAGGTTCAACTGAAGGCTCTTGATTTCGATAATCTGTGAAATATACTGGGCGACGTACTTTTAACCAGCTTAGGATTGATTCGATATTCTAATGAATGATAAAAACCTATTTATAGTTGCATTCTCACAGGGTTTTATATGTACCTAATTATGTGATTTTCTAAAATTATCAATTGTTTTGATGAATTTCAAACACTCAGCGAATGTCATATGACTGTTGTTGAACATATTACGTTACACAGTGAAACATTTTTGGGTGTAATTTCAATGGAGTGGATTTCAGAAATAACTCCGATTGAATCAACACTTGATTAGCAATATTATATCAATATTATTAGAAATTTGATAATACAGTGCAGACTCGATAATCCGAACGTTCAATAATCCGAATTCTTCAGTAGTCCGAACAAGCATTTTTAATACATTGAGTACTCTATAATCCGAATTTCATAGTACTCGATAATCCGAACCTATACCTTTAGGCCTATTTATTTCCTATAGAAATTGTTAGTGAAATGTTCAGGGATTCCCCTAATTATTCTTTTGTTAGTATCTGGGATTCACATTACGCAAGGAAGAAAATAATATTCCGTTAAATGATATTATTGTACTTCAAAGATTAAAAGAAATGGCCTTTATAAATAATCAAAGATGTGTTAAGCAAACAAAAATTACAAATTACTTTAGAAACTAGTATTATATTCTTACTTTTGTGCATATTTTAGTGTTACTTTTTCGTATTCATGTTTTTTTTGCATTTCGTAATAAAAAATTTAAAAAAAAACTGCTTCGGTAATCCGAATTTTTTGGTAATCCGAATCGCCTTGGTTTTTATTAGTTCGGATTATCGAGTCTGCACTGTACCGTGTACAGTGGTGTCTATTCACACCTTCATAGTGAAAAATTACACGGATGTGGTGATTTAGAGGGGTTCTGAAATGTCCATTCAAAAGAAACACCAAAAGGATGAAAAGTAATTACTTTCGATAGGGATAACATTCAAGTTAACGCAAAATATACACTTATTATATGGAATTAACACACCCTGACCAATCACGAATGAATCAAAACCGTGTATGAATCATAAGATTTGGGGCTAATATAATTTACTCATGGTCTTGTATATTCTCCCATGTGAATAAATAATATTGCTAATGTTGAAATGAATCTTAAGTTGATTCATCAATTATTTATGATGATTTCGAGATTGCGATTTTAATATTGTAAGGTCTCACAACAGTGGATCATTTTATACACTGAATTCTTATGTTAATATATATCAGAGTCGTGTTATTGAACACCCAGATGCAGACAAGAAAGCACCGCTTCTCAGCGTGACAATAAGTGTGTTTTTACATCAGAAAAATATTCGAAAAAAATTCGCATATCATATATTATCGGTAGTATAGTACTGTAAAAATATCAGTGTTAATTTTCACCAAAACAATCAGGACCTCAGGAGACACCCAAGGGTGTTAGCTGGTGTGAACTGGTGTTATTTTTTTTCACTGTATATACATTATTGTTCTAATACATACCATACTTTATAAATGCCCAAAATGTTACTTGAATTCAGTTTTAATAGGTCTACATCAGGTATATCGAAGACTGGAACCTTTGGCACGATAATACACTACACTGTTTTACCACTAACCAAACCGATTTTTTAACGCCTCGACACGTGTTTCGCTAACTATGTTAGCATCTTCAGGAGAAGATTAAAACTCGAGGTCTATACAGGTATGACCTGAACTCGAGGTCTACAGGTATGACCTCCTACTGAATTCATGGATTCATTAAATAAAGTAGTCGCGATGACCTTTCGGATACACTGAGGGAAAGGTTTTGTTATGATAAATAAATTGATTTGTTTGAGTATGCTTCGTTGAATATTAACGCCATCTTCTTGTCATCAATATACCTTATTAAATACTACCATGTTTTTTGTAAAAGAATCGTTGACCGAAAACAAAGGATTCGTTAGAAGCTGATTCTTTCAACATTAACATATTATGTTTTTAGGAGTAACTTCCATGAGTTTGTCACAAACCTGTTCGTTATATCCAAACTTAATGGAATCTTACTCTCGAATTACCATTTATTAACTGGTAACAAATTCTCTCCACAGTTTAATTGCTTAGATAATAAGAAATTGTTCGTTATACAATTATTGACCTTTCCATGACGTAGTGATATTCTCTTCGGCGCATGCTCGAGGTTGGAATGCAGTAGGTAGTCGGAGTCAACATGTTAGACTGCAAAGGACGCTTGAAGTGGCCTAATAATCAAATATCAATTGCTAACACAGAAAATTGTGGTGTGCACTGTTGAATGTGAATTTGAGTTTCATCAGTTTGTGCTGGAGCATAGGTATTACACGAAGTGGCTGGTGAGTTTTTATCATATTGTTTTCAATTTCTAAGACACAATAGCGAGTCTGCATGGTGAATAAATCATACTAGCATTTACTTCTCCATCAAGTGTTATTATTAATTGAATTCCTATATATTTCTCATCGTCTGACTCTAATTATTACCAATTTGATTACTATTAGGCATGCTGATACATTTTCTCTAAAGCTTGTTCTATAGACTTCCAAGATGGAGGAAACACTGAGAGGGTGGGGTCTAGAAAATTTTGTTGGAAGATTCCGCAAGGTAAAATGGTTGATCTTCCTGTACACAGGATGATGATTGTACAGATCAATTGTGAGGAGATGACAAGTGCAAATTCATATAAGTGAATAGATTTATGAGAATGGATGCAAATCCACAAAATCCTTGATTGAAGAAACAAGGCTCGAATATGAAATTAATTAGATAGTAACCAATATTTGTTAATAGTTAACATATGCCTGTGTTATTGTCAATCAGTATTCGACAACTGTTGAGATATCCATAAACATGCCAAAATTTTTGTATCTCATCCATTTTAATTCGTCCAAGTGCTTCGAAATTGATGCATCAGATGAAAAATCATGACTTTTCGAACTAATGAACATCGTTGACCTTGGAAAACCTGATAGTTTCTTATTTTCTTATACTTTACAATCATTTTGAATGATTAAATGCAATTTCAACATCCTTTCGTGCGCTCCAAGAGATGAAAAAATACCGTACCCATTATTGAATGGGACAAGATATAGTATCTCTATCAAGAACTTGTTTATTTTTATGTTACAGATCATTCATATCAATATAGTGGATGCTCGATACCACCTGGATTTCTGGTCTGATTTTAGCTCTTTTTATTCAGATGTTTTGATATCAAGATATATGTGATGTACCTATACTGTAAACTTTGGCTTAAATAAATTTGTTCTCAGAGACTCTTTACACAAAGTGATATTTGTTAATATTTAATATATGTTTCATGAGATCAAGATTATTATAACTCAATATTAACCTGTATATTCGTTTGTAATTTTTTAAAATACCATTAGTTTGTGATGAAATCATGTTAGTTAGTCCATATTCAACAACGTCATTCGTTAACAATAAATAAAATTTCTTTATTGTTAATGAACTGTTCTCTCAGTGTATTCTTCAATAAGTTTATCTTTATCTATCAATCTCTTATCTTGTGGACTTTTCATCAGGAAATGGACAAAATTGTGCACCAATCCTCGACCACAGCTGCCATGTGGCTAACAACTGTTCTCCATTCGGTTACTGTGCCATCAACCCGGAAACCAATAATTACTATTGTTCTTGTCTGCCTGGTTTCAGTGGAGATGGTTATACATGTCAAGAAAAAGAGTTAACTACTATCACCACTACTACTTTGATCCCTACTATTGCACAGGAAGTAACAGATTCTCCAAGTAAGTATTCTTTTTTCACAAATTGTTAGTACTGGGGATGACCCATTACGTGAGACTATGGCTATATTCCGAATTCAACTGGTCAGTACTGTCAGTTGATCTACTGACTCTGCTGAAAATCTGTGTTCCGAAATATAAAATCAAAAATTCACTACTGTAATTCAGGACACGTTTTCATGGTTTTCATCAGTAGTAGTTTCTCGTTTATCTGAACCAGATGTTTAGCCTCCTACTTGTTATAAATTTTGGAAATTTAATATTTAACATGGAAGAGAAATCGATTCTTGTATCCTCTATAGTTTCTACGACGATAGTGATTCAAGCTCGAGTGATGAAGAATTCTTGGACATGTTTGTTAATTGTTTGTCATAAAAATTTCTCATGATGCACCAGATTGATAATTGAGATTCATGAAAATCGCAATATGCCTTAATAATGATGAATTTTAGGAGATATTCCAGGTTTATTTAGCCAATACTGCTCCTTTCCTTAGGTATCTGCTCTACTACTTCATACTCCAGGTATTTTCTGATATTGAGAATCATTTCATCAACAACGGAAATGAATGTTACATTCCTTTCCCATCTAAAATATGACAGTTCACTGAAGCTACACTACCTTTTGATACTCAGCAATTCCAGCAGAATGTTGTGTCGAAATATTTGGAATGAATAGTATGTCTGCTGACATGAGCATCTGTCACTTCCAGTGAATTTTTTGATTTCGGAATGGAAAATCAGCAGATTCAGTACTGTCAGTTGAATTCGGAATATAGCCTATATACAGGCGGGTGTGTCATTAATAGTGTGGTCTCCTTTTGATATTAGTCAAACTATCACCTAAAATTATTTTCCTATCTTTAGGGTGTTTGAATTCCAAGATATCGGGTGATGATGTGTTTTTTAAATCGACACCCCATATAATTGCATTTTTAGGTTCTCTCTGAATATATGTTAATAGAAAGTGTCACCCAAGGATGTGGTGAAATTATATTAGAGAGTTGAAGTAATCACTGTACGTAGACCTCCACGTAGACGTTAACGTACGAAAAATAACGTTTACGTATTGTCGTTAAATTGAGTTGAAGTCGCCACTTTGGTCGTCACTGTCATCATAACGTAATAATACATTTTTTTTTCAGTTCGTATTGGTCATTTTTTGTTGTGTGTTTAGATTCGAACATTTATTCCTGTCAAAATTAGAGGACTTCTTGATGCAGAACTCGTTGGTGATCTCGAATTTGATAATTTTGACTCATCGGCATATTTCGAGTATTCGCGAAAATCACGAAGTGTGCGGCCTCTGGTGGCTAACTGTACAAGTCTTGCGAGTATGAACAACAAATATGGCGACCATTGTTTCGAATTTCATAAATATGTGTTTTATTCGAAAATAATTTATTTGTTGAAGTGCATATTCCAGAACCTCATTCCTCCCTGATAAAAAAACTCGAATTATTGCATGAACTTTTATTATTAACAATGAAGAAACCAGTACCTACCTTATAATAATATAATATACATTTGAATTAGAATCATTGTATAAATGTTGGTTGCAATGATTCGATCTTGAGAATAACTTCAAGTCCTCAATTGATGGTGATCCTTCTTTATGTAAATCGATGATATTGTTCATTCTGAGCAGCCTCTCCAACCATATCTTCTTTTCCAACCCCTTCACTAGAATTCAATCTCCTTCATAAAAGCCAGTGATATATCTTGATAAATTCAATTATTTCTTCATACCTATACCATATTGTTGTAATAGCTGATTGCTTGTATGGTTCCATTTCAGTCCATGCAAGTGTTGAGTGGACCATTCCGATCATTCCTTATGTTTGAAAACTTTAGGATTGTAGTGTAATATCAATGATAAATACCACCATTGTCCACATCAAAACGGCAATTTCTCTGCACAAAAAGTAATTTTTTCCATACTGGAAACCTTGTACGTATTTCAAGAAGTCAACTTATTATTCACTATTTTGCAAAATGATTTGGAAATAACCAATTTGCAATGAGTGCATACGGCAATGTTTTTGTTATTCATACTCAGTTGGAAATTTGACGTTGATTTGACGTTTAATAGAGCCATCTATTGGTTCGTGATTTTCGCGAATAGTTTGGTAAGGTATACGTGAAGGAACGTGAGATAACGTACACCCGTAAGCCCACTAACAACGCAAACGTGAAGAATTGGAAAATGCGCATGCGTAGCTGTCAATTTCTACTTTTACGTTAACGTTCATGACAACACTTCAACTCTCTAATATTCATTTACTGATGACTCTTGTGATAGACACACTGACATAAGTACTGTCTAGACCGATATTTGTCATATCCCAGGAACTTTTTTTTAATCGTCTCATTTGCTAGTTGGTGGAAACTGTTCTAATAACTTCTGTGACATACGGAAGGAACATTGTGGAGGTCTTCATGGAGAGTTTGGTTGCTAATGTACCAAGGAGCATCAATAATAGTTCGAAGTGTTTTTGACTGGAACCTTTGTGTGGTTTCTATTCTAGTTGGTTGTGCACAGCCCCATAGTTGTCCATATAGGTTTTTGCAGCAGCTTGTTTTTGGTCGATAGCTTAGATTTACGGCCTATTAGCCAGAACATTTGTTTGAATTTGATGTCTAGTTGCCTTCTTTTCGTTTGTACATCCTTTTCCCATGTTAACCTCTGATCTAGGTGAAGGCCCAAGTACTTCACATTGCTTTTGGCTGGAATTGGCACTCCATCGATGGTGACTGGTTGGCAGTTATCATGGCACGTAGTGAACGTTACTTGGACTGATTTGGTTTGGTTGATTTTAATTCTCCATTTTCACCAAGCATTCAACTGGTTCAGGTGAGTTTGCATGTTTACCGAGGAGGTGGCTGGATTTCTATTCACAGAAAGGATAGCGACATCATCTGCAAAGGCAGCTATCGTTGTGTTCTCTGGATTTTATAGGATACTTGTCTGATGTTGAGTCATTGTGTTTTACTGAGAAGTATCGTTCAATTAAGTAGGACTTGAGTAAAAGGTAAAAGTTGTTGTTCAGAGTATTTTATATCTTGTAGAGCAGACCTGCATGCCGTACTTTATCGAAGGCCTGAGAGACATCTAGGAATACTCCATTGCAATACTCTTTTCTTTTTAGAGTTTTGCCGATGATGTTGACTATTCTGTGTTCTTGAAGGATGGTAGACATATTCTCTCGGAACCCAAACTAGTAGTTGGGTAAGATGTTTTCTAAATCATATTCAACTTGGATTCTTTTGAGCAGGAGTCTATCGAATATTTTGCTAGGGATGGGTGAAAGGCTGATCGGTCTGTATGACGATGTTTCATGCGGAGGTTTGCCGTTTTTATAGATCATTATTATGTAGGCATATTTCCAGATGACAAAGAAGTAGCACAGGCTTAGCATGCGATTGTAGATTGTTGTAAGGAAGACGATAGCTTTCCTGGGCATCTTCTTGAGGACTTGTGCAGTTATCAAGTCGTAACCTGGTGCTTTCGTATTGTTGAGTTTTCTTATTCCCATTTTGACTTCCTGTGGGCTAATGGGATTGATGGGTGGTGACATTGGGCACGTTACATCCAGAACTTCTACAACGTTCTTACCGTAACCCGGAATCGCTTCTGGTGGCTCGAAAACGTGCGAAAGGTGATCAGCAAAGCCATTTGTAGGGGTTTGTATAGGGAACACTGGCGCCGTCGGTCTTTTAAATTTTCTCGTTGCTTCCCACGAATAATATGAGGGCTAACATTTTCACTGGAGCTACTAGAACATGAGGTCAATGTCAAAGTCGAAAATTCCAAAGGTTTACCGGATAGCTCTGAAAGCTATGGCCTGTTTCATCAAAAATATTCAAAGATAATTAGGTACAATATTTGAAAAAATAAAAAACCTCAAGTTATCAAAAGACGTGAGCCGTCTAACGTGTTCTTAATCTCAAACGTTACGACCAATTCTTACAATGACGGAGAAGAAGACGTCATAGCAGAAGGCCAAATGATACGAAAAGAAGAAGTAAATTTTTCAGTTCTATCAACTCTGACCTCATGTTTCAGTGGCGCGGTTTGGTGGACAATAAATAATAATAACTATGATCTTATGGCATAAGCGGTCTAGTTAGTAATTTATATCAGTGGATAGACCTGAGACAAGTGTGGTTGACTGATCGACCAATATATGATGTGCAGTTAACGAAAAAGAATGGTTAATTAATGATATTCAATAATATATAAAGCATTAATTTCTATTTCCAGATCACCGGATCACCCAGACATGCACAGCTGATAATTGTTGGTGTCCCACAGGATACAGGGTGGAAACCGGAACAAGATATTGTATCGCCGAAGATGTAATGTATACTCCGATAATAACGACTACAGAATATGCATCAGGCCAAGGTTCGTTATTACAACTTCTTGACTTGATATTGTTGGTATTTAATAAGGGATCACACACCGAAAGAGATTCATTCCTGTCGTGAGATTAGTTGGTTAACCGAGGCGCAAAGCGTCGGGGTTAGCTATGATCTCGATACAGGAATGACAGTTTCCTACCAAGGTTTGTTTACTATTTTATTCACAACCATTATATTTCGATCAAAATTAATAAATCTCTGTTTCGTTCTGAACATACTCCAAATATTACATAAGTGAAGGCGGGAAATATACTGAGAAGAGAGGGCGGGAAGTAGAGGTGTGTAATGTGACACTTCCGAACCTTCAATGACGTTGGTAATAACAACATTATTATATATTATATAACAACAATAATTCATTACCTATCTGAAACTGGTGAATTAAAAATCAAACGAATCAGTGTATATGAGAAGTTATAAAAAGTGACATATATGACTAGGTTAACAAAAATCATTTATCAATGGATGTTAATGTTGATCCGCTATATATAGGTTATCCATGAAAATTTGAGATTTCCTCATGACATATACGGAAGGTCTAAATAGCTTGTCCAGTATTTTTATAAGCTTGGTTTTCATCTCATGGTTCCTCAACTAGAAATATATGAGAGTTTTGCGGATATCTTATCGTTTTTGAAGTTTTTTACATCTTGCATCCCATGGACGTATAGTAACGACCGAGTCAATTAAAAAAATACATTGAAATAATCATTCATCTCTCATTATATTCACCCAATTAGATGTACATAATCTAAATTGCATCTCAATTATTCTGTAGGAACCTTTCAGCCTAGGTCATCAAAATCGATAATTACCTGTTTTTTATATACAGGGTGATTCAAAATTCGAAAACGATGTCGTGACTTCCCCTTTCGTTGATTGCGACTTTCTGGCAAATGGTTAGTTGTATAAGAAAAATGCAGGAGATCGAATTCTTGAATTTTTTTATGACCTACAAGATCATGGTATTCAAAGTCCGAGTTTCTTTTTTTGAACATAAAATTTGGGATAATAAAAGTTTAGACTGTGTACATCATTTTTGAAGCAAGAAGGAAATAAAGTGTCTTAAAAACAGCGAAATGGTGATTTTCAGAAGATGTGATCCGTCATTTCAGACACAATTTTGGTAAATTTTTCTGCTACTCAACTCACAGTGGCTCGGAGGGGGCGCATTTTAGGACACATTTTTATTGAAATAAAACGTCTTATTTTGATCCCTTGATTATATGTTCTCAGAATATATTGATGGAATTTTTAATCACCATCATGTATATCATGTGTGATTTCAGAAAAAATATTATATATATGAAGCTCATTCCTAGACTTCAAGTTGGCCTTGTCAATAATTCAAATTGTCGTCCAGGTGTTTTGCTTTTGCTACTAGTACACAATGTACAATTTCTCCAATAAGTTCTAAAAAAAATTTGTTCTAAAATTTGTTCTAAAATTTGTTCTATCCGTCATTCGGTTGCCCCCTTACGAGCAACCCTCAAAAGTCTTCGAAAGTCTTGTGCGAGCAAGGAATGACGGGGGCCTTACCTTTTAACGTGTGATCCCAAACACTATCTTGGGCCATCAGAAAAATTTCTGCAGTCGACGGGGATCGAACCCACGACCGGCAAGCGAATGCGAATTAGAATATAAACACTCTGTCCGCACGGCTACCTGGCCACCTGAAACGAATAATGGAATATGATCCCCAGAAGGCTCCGACACCCTCAACAACTGTCACCCAGCCAAGTCCTGTTAGTATTCTGATCAGCTGCACTCGTACGAGTGCGTTTGCAACGTGATCAGAAACGAACTTCTACTTCCTGAGTGCATTCGTTCTCGTAATAATGAATTTGGTTTGAGTAAACTCGTTCATAACAGTAGTAACAGCACATTCCTATACTTATTCGGTGCTTGTTGGCCTTATCAACAATTCACACTGCCCTGCGGGAATGTATTGATCTCACTACTAGATACACAATGTACAATTTCTTGAACAAATCTGAAGGTAATAATGGAAAATGATCCCCAGAACTCTGCGACACCCTCAACAACTGTCACCCGGACGCGTCTTGCCAGTATTGCGTTTGCAACGACTTCAAACGTCCCCAAGTTCATTTGCAGTATAGTAAAAGCATTTTCTCAGAAATCAATACTTGTTGGCCTCGGCGACAATTCATATTGTCGTCGACCAATGTATTTCTTCAACTACTAGATACAAAATATACTATTTGTTGAACTAGTTCGGGAGGAATAATGAGAAATAATCCCTAGAAGGTTGCGACACCCTCAACAACTGTCACCCGGACGCGTCTTGCCAGTACTCTGACCAGCTGCACAGTAAAGGAGCTATGCCGAAACCTCCGCAATTTTCAAAATTCCAAGACCTTTTTCCCCAGATTCTACGGAAATTCCGCGATGCGCAGCGGAAAGCCTCATAAGAGCCCATGTTGAGCAAATCAGATTTTTCCCTAGATCTACGGACTTTTTCAGCGAATTTTAAGCAATTTTTTACTCTTTCAAGGTCATCCGGCTCCAACGCTAGCCCGAAGCTGCTGATAAGAATAGCGATAACACAACAACAATAACAAGATGGAATATATAGGGAGGATCGCTGAATGAAAATATACAGGGTGTCTCATGAATAACATATCACATTTATACTAGATTACAGCCAACGTATGACAGATAGCATATGATGGATGACATTTGACCTTCCGGTGCTGAAACTAAACGCTCAATGTGAATAAATAAATTAAAACAAGCTGTCACCGCTGCGGATCTGTAGAGGTAAAGCAAAGCGAGAGATGCGTTCCAGAGATAGGAAATTTCGAGTCGAAAATAATATTTATAGAAACATGGGCTCTTATGGGGCTTTCCGCTGCGCATCGCGGAATTTCCGTAGAATCTGGGGAAAAACGACTTGGAATTTTGAAAATTGCGGGGGTTTCGGCATAGCTCCTTTACTCTGCACACGTGCGAAGGCATTTTGCAACGACGGCCTGAAACGAACTTTCACCTCTTAAGAGCATTCGTTCTCGTAATAATAACTTTGATCGAGTTTCCGCGTTCATTACAGTAAAAGCATATTACCAGACTATTTCTTGAACAATTTTGGAAGAAATAATGGAAAATAATCCCCAGAAGGCTGCGACACCGTCAACAACTGTCACCCGGACGCGTCTTGCCAGTACTCTGATCAGCTGCACGTGTACGAGTGCGTTTGCAACGACGGCCTGATCGGAAACGGCGTTTCCTGCGAACCGGAAGTCACATCCTGCACGAACGAGTGCGTTTGCAACGACGGCCTGATTTGAAACAAACTTCTACCTCTTAAGAGCATTCGTTCTCGTAATAATCAATTTTATTGAGTTTCCGCGTTCATTACAGTAGTAAAAGCATATTCCCAGACTATTTCTTGAACAAGTTCGAAAGCAATGATGGAAAATATTCCCCAGAAGGCTGCGACACTCTCAACAACTGTCACCCGGACGCGTCTTGCCAGTACTCTGATCAGCTGCACGTGTACGAGTGCGTTTGCAACGACGGCCTGATCGGAAACGGCGTTTCCTGCGAACCAGAAGTCACATCCTGCACGATCGAGTGCGTTTGCAACGACGGCCTGATTTGAAACAAACTTCTACCTCTTAAGAGCATTCGTTCCCGTAATAATCAATTTTATTGAGTTTCCGCGTTCATTACAGTAGTAAAAGCATATTCCCAGACTATTTCTTGAACAAGTTCGAAAGCAATAATGGAAAATATTCCCCAGAAGGCTGCGACACCCTCAACAACTGTCACCCGGACGCGTCCTGCCAGTACTCCGATCAGCTGCACGTGTACGAGTGCGTTTGCAACGACGGCCTGATCGGAAACGGCGTTTCCTGCGAACCGGAAGTCACATCCTGCACGATCGTGGACAACTGCGATCCGCACGCCACATGCTCGTACGACGACGGGTTGGGAAAGTCGGTGTGCGTGTGCAATCGGGGGTTCCAGGGTGACGGATATACTTGCAGCATCAGTGCCATCAGTGGTAAGTCGAATGATGAGGATTTATTGTTTATTGTTCATTCAGAAACTAGCTTCCAGTCAGAAATACAATTCTGGTATGAGGAATAAGTTGATAATAATAATTGTTTCAGCTAGGTGTAAATTTCAGTGGACTGTATATTCTCGCACTGAGGAAAATTTCAATTAACCATAGTCAGAAATCGAATTACGAAGAAACTCTAATAGCATAGGGGACAAGCGATCACCTGTGATTATAAAGTCGACTTTGCTGATTATAACCCACCTGCGATTATTAGATATAGAACCTTGCTGTCACTAGCGAGTGCATCTGTATTCTGTATGATGCTATCAGATGATGTTTCTGTAGTAGGTATCTGACTTTGCTACCGCTAGTGAGTGCATCTAATAATGGGAGTAGGGCAATGTTATAATCGTAGGTAGGGAACTTTGCTACTCTTGATGGGTGATCATATAGATAGTTGCATGACCTTCTTACTGTATAGTTATTCAGTTATTTTCCAGGATTGTTGTCATCAAGAAAGGTGAAATTTTGACTGATATCCACTTTCACTTCCCATAATTTCTACCCTGATGTTTGGAATGGATAGCAATTTATTGATTCCTAAAGAAAATTTCGGACCAATGATCTTTGAAATTCAATAGATCAATTGATTCATGCACCCTCAGGAAAAACCAAAGGTTTTTTTGAGTAATTGATGAAAAAAAGAATTTTTCTGAAACCTTCTGGAACCATTGTATTTCGAAAACTAGGCAAGTTATTACAGATCCGTACAGGAAAACAAAATGTTACCAGTAAAATCATTCGAATAATTTCATCACCTGGACTTTTTTGCTCACAATAAGTTTTTAGACCAGATTCTATTGAGAAGCTCTGAAACATATATGACCATTTTAAAGTGTAATGATACCAAAGAGAGGAAAATGTTATTGAATGTAAAATATTTGAATTTCAGACGAAATACCTCGAAAAAACTCACCTTTATCATTCCATCAATCCTGGTATAATAACTGAATCACTCAGATCTACGAAAGCACTGAAAGGGACACAGAAGATTTTTTTATTTGTTTGAAAATGTTTCCATTTTATATTTGAATTCAGATTCAGATTTTGAATAATGAATTTGATTCAAGAGGGGAAGTATTCGTAACTGTCGTGTCGTCGAGATTGTCGTCCTGTACATGGGTTTGCATCAAGAGCCCAACTGTGAATGATTGATCAAGCAAGATGTCTGACAAATGTTCACATAGAGTGGGACAAATCAGCGAAATATCGAATAACGATGAGTAGGCGCTAAATAACCCCAAGTTGGTTCGTCAAATATTATTTTCGTGGCAGACTGACAGTTGTATTATTGGATGTGAGTGCAGTTCTATGCGATGAACCTCGCAGCCACAAGCATATAACTCACTAGTAGTAGTTCAGCTAGAAAATTATTAAAAAAATCATGCTGTCCCAGAGTGGCTGCCTGATAGCTACAGCAGTATACCTTCCTGTGGCAGGAAATTCACTTTCAGCAAAGTCGTTATTGCTATCATAGGATTTGAAGGTGCTGCTTCTATTCGAAAATGTATAACGATAATATGATTTCTTGTAATGGTAGCAAGAAATATCTCAGCAAAAACTCTAATAGCACAATTTTCCTCAGTGCGGTTGTGGATTCAATATTATTGTATCACTTAGATTCAGTTTGAATACTCGAGCACGATTCACCTTTATGGCCTTACCTCGCGTTTTTGATCGGCGGAGACGTTCAAGTAGACACTGCTTCGGTACTGATCCTGATGAAACGCAGGAAGAGGGGCCCTCTCGTTGTGCATGTAACAGGTTCAACTCTCAACACGTGAAATATCGCGAATTCATGAATTAATCGCCGTTGCTCATTCTTGACTAAGAGGCACTGTCGCAGGATATATTACGGTGATATTGGAATAATTAAAATACAATAATATTTTCTTTATAAATACGTATAAAAATGATTCTCATAGAACAGAAATATATACTCAAAAAATATCGTGAAATGATATGCTCAAAATAGTGGATTTCGAACAATAATAATGATAATAATAATAATATTAACAATAATAATTTTCATTTTATGTTAAATGTATAACATGAAACAGTAAAATACGTCAAAAAAAGAAAAAAATATAACAAACAAACAATGCGACAGCATCACAAATACAGTGTGTCCCACTTACCATGCTCACCATGGGTATCTTTTTAACGGTGAGAGATACGAGGTCGGTTAAATGACACCAAATGTGGAGTTTGTCAAGGCCAACTATAATGTGAAGAAATATTTTGATAAAAGCTATTCGTTTTTGTTTTATACGCAAAAAACAGATTTTGATAATTTTCATGTCTCCTACGTAACTTCTTTATCTACGAAAATATTCAAATAGGAATTTCACATTCTCATGGCAGTTTTTCAAAGTGATTTCGAAAAAAATATGAAATTCATACCAACTCTTCTAGAATTTGAGATATCAGCAACAACTTTAGTTTTTCAAATGTAGGTCATAGCTCACTATGACTTAGTTACAAATAACTTTTTTTCTCTTACAGATGATATGTCGCAGTAATAGTTTTGTGTTGATAACAACGGAGTTATCGTCATTTATACAAAAACAAAAAATTTTTTGGAAGCCGCCATCTTGAATTTATAAATTTTAACAAAAAAATCATAATCTCCGACCTCAAAAACCCCCACTCACCTCACTACCTACCAAATTTGATTGGAATCGGACCAAATCTTGTCCGCCATCTTGGAGCAGCCATTTTTTTTTAATTTGAACAAAAATTCCATATATGTGTTGTCACCGAAATTATAAACATCTGCCAAGTTTCAAGTTGATAGGGCGGTAACAATACATTATGGAATTTTTGTTGAAATTAAAAAAAATGGCTGCTCCAAGATGGCGGACAAGATTTGGTCCGATTCTATTCAAAATTGGTGAGTGGGGGTTTTTGAGGTCGGAGATTATGATTCTTTTGTTAAAATTTATAAATTCAAGATGGCGGCTTCCAAATAATCTTTTGATTTTGTATAAATGACGATAACTCCGTTGTTATCAACACAAAACTATTACTGCGACATATCATCTGTGAGAGAAAAAAGAGTTATTTGTAACTAAGTCATAGTGAGCTATGACCTACATTTGAAAAACTGAAGTTGGTACTGATATCTCAAATTCTAGAAGAGTTGGTATAAATTCCATATTCTTTTCAAAATCTCTTTGAAAAACTGCCATGAGAATGTGAAATTCCTATTTGAATAGTTTCATAAATAAAAAAGTTACGGAGGAGACATGAAAATGATCAAAATCTCTTTTTTGCGTATAAAACGAAAACGAATAGATTTCATCAAAATATTTTTTCCACATTATAGTTGGCCTTGACAAACTCCACATTTGGTGTCATTTAACCGACCTCGTATCTCTAACTGTTAAAAAGATACCCATGGTGAGCATGGCAAGTGGGACACACTGTATATACAATATACACGGTGTTCCTTAATGATATGCTAATATTCGAGGGGCCGATTTTTCAACCCATTTCAAGAATATAACTTCATATGAACAAATGTCGTTAACGTCCTAACTTTTGAGATACAGGGTGTCAATATTGAAAATATGCATAGATTATTTTTGTCCACCCTGTATAGCTTTTCGTGATGGCAAAATTTAGCCTACTATGTGACTGAATCAGTATACGAATCACAAGATGTTACATACTGTGGTTATCCAGTAATAAATTTCCTGAATGGAGTACTCAGACTTCAAAATTTGAAGTCTGGTCTCGTCTTTCCGTTTTTTCTCGAAAACTAAGCGTTCTATCGAGTATCAATAAGTGGATCTTTTCTGTACATAATTGAATAGCCCTTTATGACATTGTATGAAATTTGAAAAATGTCTGTCGTTGCTCACATTTAAATAGAATATATACCATAATATTCCCGTAACGGTGCCACTGGTAGAGAAAATGAAAATTTCTGTACATCAGATAATGCACCTTGATGCTTTAAAGACTTGTACCAAATTTCATGAAGATGTATACAATATTGTCTCAGTTATTATAAAAAAACTGAATATTTTTCAAGACTTCATCACCCTGTATCTCAAAAGTTAAGACTTTTAGTACATACGTTCATATGAAGTTTTCTTCTTAAAATCAGTCAAATAATCACCCACATTATTGAATATGAAAGTATCATTATGCAGTATTCGTTCGTGGAATGAAATGTTGACTGAATGAGTCTTTCAATGTTTCGAGAGTCGATTTTTTCTCCAGTGGCCAGTTATTATATATCTCGAACCAGTTTGACCCAATCACCATCATGAACGTGGATATTTGCTGGTCATTGCTTTTCAATCCGAGATTTACTGCTTGTTCAAACCATTCAAAGTGTTGTAACCATATTTTCCATGTCTTCCATGCCTTCGATGTTTAACGGTTTTGGCGGCTGCACATATGAGGATATCGCAGCTCCCGCAGAATTATTCATATGGGTTCCAGCATGTGTATTGTGTGGAAGCTGCCAATTATGATTTTAGCTGATTCATTTGCTCTACCAGCATCTTTATATTTTCTTTGGTTTCCTCGTTGGCCATTTCTCAGTTTTCTTCTGACACCATGTAATAAGATGTAAATTATCAAGATCTAACTTTATTAACTGCCTGACGTTCAACACTAATGTCAACTGACAACTAACATCATCTCCATGAATACAGGGTATCCATTATTCAAGTATGAGATAATACTGTTACAGGGAGTGATGTCAATTGAATAATTTTGTGAAGATGGATTATCATGTACACCTCCAGAAATAAGACAATTAGCTAATGTTACCATACAGAATCTATTGCCAGAAAAATCCCAAAACAAATATAAAGGTGTATACAAAAATTTTCAAGATTGATGTAGCAGTAAGAACATATCAAGTCATCGTTCACAGAGAATGTTCTTTTGGCATATTTTTAGTGAACTTAGCACTAAATATA